ACCTTGTACTTAGGCACAGAGGTCAGCTTGCGCCACCCCCCTCAACCACCCCACTCCCCGTGGCGGTGAGGCTCTTCCCTGCCCAGTCCTGTGAAGCCGGGTGTGAAGTGGGTCCCACTCAGAGGGGCAGGAGAGCCCCAGCCCTGCCTCTGCCTTCCCTCCCCCTCCTTGCCCCTTTCCCTCCTCCTCCCTCCTGTCTTTCTCTCCTCCCCTCCCTTCCCCTCTCTTCTCTGGGCCTTTCTTTCCACCCCCTCTCCTTCCTCCTCCTGAGAGACAGGGGCCCTCCCCACAGTCAGGGTTGCCCTCGAGGCTGTTAGAAATGCAAATACCAAGTGTCTATCTGATTGCTGTTGAGTTGCCAAGGATTTGAGGATTTACACTGTCTGGAGGTGGTGGGTCAGTTGCAGTAAGAACCTGCACGCAGCATCGTCCAGGGGCCATCAGTCAGCGGCTCCTGATCGGATGGAGTGCTGCCGGGGTCACAGCTGCGTTAGGTCCACCTGCTCCCTGGTCACAGGCCAGGCCACTGGGGAGACCGAGTGCTGCAGTCAGTACACTCAGCGTCCAGGGCGAGGCCTCCTAGCCTGACGCAACACTGTCCTTAAAGTTGGAAGGAGTTAGGTTTTTATGCACTTACATTTTAGAAGGCTCTTTTTCATATCCTTATCTGCTGCCTCTTTCAAATTACTTTTCTTTCTACTGTATTTATTGAAAATGTTTATGGAGATCAAGAGGCCATGTCCTCTAAATGTCTTTGTACAGTTGAAGTATTTACCACGTACCTCTTACATAGTCCTGGTTTCTAATGAGAGATTGACATTCAGGAATTAATAGACACAATGTCCTTCTGTTTGCACTAAGTTTTTTCCGCAAACCCTGCTGCATCTAGTTTCTTGGATATTTATAACTGTCATGTTTCTGTACTGTTTATTGGAACAATGTGTCTAAAATTACTCAGATTCATACTAGTTACATATGAATGGGTGGACGTTTTGTCAGAACCATACATCTGTTGCAATTTTGGACGCCTTAGGAAGACCTGCAAAATAAGTAGAAGTCACTTTCAGGTTATCATCTACCAGGGGAAGGGAAGTATGTTATGGGCTGTCATGAAAGAACTGTAAGATGCTATTTTGGGGGAACTGTAGAAGTCACAGATTTTTTTGTTTTTCATAGTGTGGCTTTTGACCTCTAGACCATTCAGTAAATGGAACGTGCTAAAATTTTCTTCTAATTCTGATATAACATGTGGATGCAAAGAATATCAGTGTCTCTTCCTTAGAGAAATTTGTGTATTGACCTGAATGTAAAGTAGGGTTAAGTGAACAGTGAACACTTTTCTCACCCTCTGTAACAAAAAACTAGAACTCCCTCATCTGTGTGATGCGTGCCTTTCCATTTTGTTTCAGGCATGAAATTGCCGCCTCAGTCTGTTACTTCCTTCTCAGTTTTTTTCACTCTTTCTCCTGAGAAATGCCTTATGTTTGTAATCCCACATTTTCCTGTGTATCCTAGCAGTCTTTACGGTAGTGCCTTTTATATATCCAGAGGATTTCAGAATGGAAATCTATGAATATTAAGACATAGAAACAGTATGAGATATGGCCTATCCCCCCAAAGATGTTCAGTTTTCTCCCTTAGTCCTTCCTCCCCATGTCCTTTCTTCCACCTCCACTCTGAAGAGGGGGTTTGATGATTGGCTGATACTGATGGAATATCAACAAGCCATTAAACCAGCCATTCATTTACTATGTTGAGTGCTTAGAAAGCTGTCAGAGGGGGAGCTAAAAGAAAATTGATAAATTTGGATTTTCTGTTATGTAGATCTTTATATCTTCTTGATAATTTCTGTTCATTGGGGTTACTTACCTACAGGGAGGAAGGACTTCATGTATGTATCTGGGACTAAATGGATACCTATTTGTAGAGCTGATAAATACTTTGCAGGGGACCCACTCTGGGCACAGAGAGCCTTTGCATTTCCGGAACTCTCCCCTGCTCTGTCCCCCGGGCCCCAAGTCATTTTAGTTGCCTTACCCTGGCACTGTCTTCATGGCCCTCTGTACAACTAGCACAGCTCCGTGAGGACAGGGCACTCCCCAGTTTCATCCTTGGATCGCCAGCACCTAGAGCGGTGCCTGGCTACAGTAGTTGCTGACAGGTGTGTATTTGTTGAATGGATGGATGAATGAAACAGACTGTAATTGTCAGTTCTAATGCTTTGTGTACTTTCAGATATATAAAATAAAAAGCTTACATAAATATTGTCAAAGTGAGGTTAAATGCAGTTAAAACCATCCCATGTGTCTCAGGTTGAGTGAACATGGCATAGTGGAAGACAGCAGTGAAGTGGGAGTGAAAACATTGGGTCCTGGTTCTCACTCAGTTTCTGCCACTAAAGATCACTTGGCTTCTTTCTCTGAGACGTTGCTTCACCTCCTATAAATCACGGGCTGTACTGGATCTCTCTGGAACCCCAAGGCTCTAAGAAGCTGCCCAGCTGAGGGAAGAGGAGAAGGGGTGAATGGGAGGTACTCCGAGCCCTTCCACTTTAACTAGAGCAGTTGGCTTATGTTTTCTTTATATATTGGAGTTTCATATGAAATTTGGTTTTTTAAAAAGATTAATTTCAAAAAGTTTAAAAAACCACTGAACTAGAATAGCATAAAGGTTATTTTTAGCTCAATAATTTTGATTCTGGTATCTTCACTACTTAAAGGATATTGCGTCTCCATCATTCTTTGCTCCCTCCCTTCACAAAGAAAAGCTCATTGAATTTTTTTTAATATCTTAAGAAAATTATGATATGTGGGTAGATAATACGATTGTCATCACCAAGAACGTTAGCTGCATGAAAACAGTGGCTGCGTCTGCCTGCTCACGACTGACGGTTTGTGCTTACTCGGGAAATCTGTGTTAGATGGGCGGGTGGCTGGGTATTTGAAGAGAGCAACAACTTATTTTTAAGTGAGAATATGTTATTATGTTGTAACAGGTAAAAAACATGTATCTTATACTAGGAAATTTTTACAAGTGAAGTCTTGTTTTTTTCAAGGTGGTATTTACTGGGTATCCATATTGCAAGAGATCATTTTTAAACAGTTTACTAAATGTCCAATTTACTGCACCTTCCTTAATTTCTCATTAATTTTCCAATGTTATTTAAAATATAAAGCTAGAAGTATATGATATGATTTTCTTTTTTATTCTTTTCCCCCATTTTTGCATTTAAAGTAGCATCGTTTTAATTTTTTTTTTCTGCTGACAACCAGCACTTTATTTATTAGTGAGATGCTGTGGTCTGGGAAAGGGGAAGCCGGGATAGAGAGGACAGCACCCATCTCAGGAATTTTCCTGGACATCAGGCGTTCCCTCCATGCAGGTTTAGAGGAAACACCTTCCTGGGTAGACTCCCCAGAGGGCAGCGCTGTGACTGCCAAGCAGCAGGGATAGGAGGGGCCCCTTAGGCAGAGCTGGGCCCCTGGGACAGCAGGGCTTCGATGTCAGGCTCGATGTCGACGGTCAGAAAGCGGCGGCTGTACCTGCGCACAGGTGCACCATCTGGGCCCCCCGGGAACTTCTCCAAGTTCCAGGAGACATCGTTGCGGCATACTGGAGACCAGGTGATGAACTCGGGGTCGGTCATGAGGGCAGTGGCGTCGTCCCTGGGAGTGGGCAGGGCCTCACGAAGAAAGGCGAAGAGCGGGTGCGCCTCTGAGCCGTCCACGTCGCATTTCTCAAAGAGCACGAAGTTGGGCTCGAACCCGCCGTCTGGTCGGACATACTTGAGGCAGTTTAGGATCTCCTCGTTCTTCGCGTTCTCCTGATACCCAAACTGGTTGCACGGGGAACGCAGCACGACCAGGCCCCGGGGCCCGAGGCGCTGCTGCAGCTCATTCATCTGGGTGTAGTCCCGGCCCGTTGTGCCTCAGCGACGCCACGTTCTCAGTGCGCAGCACCTACCCGGCAGGGCGCCCAGGCGCCCCGGTTCCCCGGCTCCCCGGCTCCCCCCCAGGCGCCCCGGTTCCCCGGCTCCCCGGCTCCCCGCCGGCCCGCGGGCGCGCGGAGAAGGCGCACGCCGAGCGCGGGGCCGCCGAGCGCCGAGCCGCGCCACGTGGGTGGGTTTGGAGAAATAAAGGAGTGCCACTGCCTAGAAAAGCCTTTTTTAAATGTTTTTAATTGAAGTACAGTTGATTTACAATGTAGTATTAATTTCTGGTATACAGCATAGTGATTCAGTTATACTCATATATGTGTGTGTGTGTGTGTGTATATATTCTTTCTATATTCCTTATCATTTTAGGTTATTACAAGATACTGAATATACTTCCCTGTGCTGTACAGTAGGACCTTGTTGTTTACCTGTTTTATATATAGTAGTTAGTATTTGCAAATCTCAGGCTTAAAGTCTGAGTCTTTTGGAATATTAATTTTGAAATGGAGAATATTATTTCTTTTTATTCTGTGGAAGGTACTTGAGGTAATAATAAGCTATTTGAGGACAACTTGGAGACCACGGTTGGTCACCAGTTGACTTTTTAATTTGGCAGGCCTGCTTGAAGTTGATAGGAAAAGGTTTACTGAGATTACAGAACCGTTTTAGTGGAGGTAGTCTAAAGTGGAAGGAATGTAATGGTAAGACACTGAACTACTGACCTGCAGGATTGTTTTAGGAATAGAAATGAGAACATCAGACTTGTGTTCTTCAAAAATCATGTAGCAGTGTGTCTTAACAAAATATAAGAATCATGTGTTATTGCAGTTGTATGACCCTTACTCATAAGGTGGTAAATCTTCCCACTTGCATATTGCCTAGTAAGACCTTGCGTTTTGGTATGGTTTAGTATCAAGTATTAAGCCTCTGATGCTCTCTGTGTGTGTGTGTGCACGTGTGTGTGAGTGCACATGTGAAAAGCACACAGTTACTCACAATGTACTTCTTCTGTTTGGTCCATGCACTTGTGCATTTATGTTGCTTATGAACTTATCTTTCCCTTTAGGTAAAGAGGAAGAATTTCCAAAGAAACCTTTGGGACAACTTCCCCCTGAATGTCAGCTGGCTGGCGTCAGTCACCTGAGCAACGGACAGAGAAGTGTGGGCAAGTCAAGTCCCCAGACAGGCAGCAGAAGGGAAAGCAGCTCCTCTCCTCACAAGACACACGAGCACTCCCCTCACCATCAGAGCAGAGCTGGTACCCCGGAAAGAGTGAGGCAGCCAAGGCGGAAGTCAGTGGACGAGGAAAGCAAAAAGCTTAAAGATGAGGCAGATTTTCAAAAAAGGCTTCCATCAGGTCCGCAAGACAGTTCCAGGCAGTATAACCATGCAGCTGCTAACCAGAATAGCAATGCCATTTCAAACATCAGGAAGGAGTTTGTGCCCAAATGGAATAAACCGTCAGATACGTCAGCTATTGAAAAAGCTGCCAAATACGCCGTCGAAGGCAGAAGCAGAGCTGCCCACCCCACACTTCGAATCACCGTCCCGAGTTCAGCAGATGCTCGGGTACCCAGCGTCAGGCAGAAGATGAAGGTCTTGGATGCTGACGAAGGGAAGCGGGGCTCGAATGCATCCCAGTACGATAACGTTCCTGAAAGTGAGAATGGCGCTGCTCTGGAAGAGGCCCTCGAGCGGGCGTCCTCGCACAGCCCCAGGGGCGTCGCTTACTCGCACAGTCCCAGGAGGCATGCCGAGCCGAGCTCCAGTCCACCCAAAGTACCCAACAAGTTTACTTTTAAAGTACAGCCTCCAGGTTATGCAAAATACCCACCTCAGTTCAATGGGGAAGATCGTGGGACAGGGCATCCCCCATCTTACAGTAATCCCCCCGGTTACCATGGAAACCCTCCTCCCAGGCACATCCCTGCTGCTCACAGCAGCTTTGTGCCTCCCCCGTTCACCCTTGGGACTCACATGAATCCTCCCAGGAGACCTTATGGTTCTACTCTTTCAGTCAATGCTTCTCCAGAGAAACCCTCCCACCGCCCGACTCCAGTCGTCCTGCCATCCAGTAGAATAGAAGTTCTCCCTGTGGATTCTGGTGCCAGCGGGTATTCGGGCAATTCAGGGTCGCCGAAGAATGGAAAATACATCCTTCCTCCAGCAGATCGTTTGCCAGATAACAGAAAATGGTCGGAAATGGGTTACACGTTCAGACCAGAGATGCATGGACAGTCGTGGGCTCAAGATGCAGACCACAGCCACTTAAGCAGTTTACCAAAATATTCCACCTTTCAACGTGGACCCTTTCAGGACCACAGCCTCCCAGCGGTTTCTGTAGATAGTCCAGTGCGGTATAGAACTTCCCCAGCGCTGGAAGATGCCAGTTCATCTGGGTATCAGTATTCAGGGCCCTCGCTTCCGGCTCATCACTACAGAAATCGGGATGGACTCTCCATCCAAGAATCAGTATTGCTGTGAGAATTTATCTGTGCTTGCTACAGACAAGAGAATAGAAACCGTGTGAAACCTACGTTGCTGTGTTTATAATTGCCAAAGCAGTATTTTATACAATTGTGAACAACTCACACAATTCGGATGTATGTTAGTAATAAGAATATATGGGAGCGTTTTCATCCCCACCTAAATGCTGCTTAAGATGAGCTTTTAACTTGCATCATCACTGAACCTGTCAAAAGGAATTTAATGTGGAAACATAGCAATAGCATTTAGGGACGTACGCTCGGTTTCATTTGTATCTTTCTCCGACATCTGAATATTCGTACTCTGTTAGCCCATTCTATTTTGAGTGATGTTACAAAGCACTGAAAACCTGAGCTGAATAGTTACTTTTAAGGCTGTGTGTAGTGTATGTGTCCTTCCCTAGATACCATGGGCATCTGTGCATTACACGTTTGAACACAGAACTAAAGAAATGTTAACGAAAGAAACTACTTTTAATCTAGATCCATGGAATAATTTATTCTTCTTTTCTCTCTAACTTGTCTTTTGGTCAAATTCCCCCCCCCTTTTATTTTTAACCCAGGTCCTAAACTGACTTAAGGGTTTGCCCTGACTTAATTCAGTGTCTCACAGAATGCTCAGCTTTTTCATCCAGTTGCTGGCATTTTCTTTGAATCTGAAAATTGAAGACATTGGAGAGAAAGGCTAACCACTTAATGGTGCTTAAAAATCGGGGCAGTTAAAGTAAGTTGATGGCCAAAGGTGCAGCGCTTAAAGGATCCTTGTTCACCAAGAGATCTGTTTTAGTGCATCTGTGCCCTTTGTTCTGGTCTGACTCTTGCAAAGCTCAGAGCAGAATATTCCTTGCCAGATGCCCAGACAGTGCTGCGGCGCAGCTGTCCGGTGGGCGCCAGCAGGAGAAGCTGCACGTTACCATCAAGCACTCACATGGGGCGGCGGAGCAGGCTCCTCTGAAATTCGTTTGAAAGCAGGATCAACAATACGGTTGCTTCTTACTTCTGCCCCTTGAATTCCTGCAGAGCCTCCTTGCAAAGGGCCCGGGTGGCATTTACACGATCTTTTCCTGACACTCTATCTTTAAAGAAGGTAGTCAATGGATATTGCTGCACTTAGGCCATTAAATTATCGTTGTGTAAAATTGTGAAAAAACGATCCTAATTATTACTGGAATCTTAAGAGTTGGGTCTTTTTTGTTTTAAATAGTGTAAATTTCATACTTTCAGAAATCTTTTTGTTTGTTCGCTTCAGTGAAAAAAATTCAGGATCATCATAACGAAGACAGCAGTGTCTCTTAAAGTTTTGTTTTACACTACAGTTGCCAAAACACTGACCACGTTTTGGGCACTCCAAGAAAGTCTGACTTTGTTGTCAACATTCCTTTGCTCCAGTTTGCCTCAGAGAGAGTAGAAAACCTCAGATAGATGGCTCTTATTGTTGCAAGTTGAGACTTTAAGCTTTCAAGGTACAGAGGTGTGTCTTTTAAAACGAGAGTAACAGTCGTTTAGCTCCTGAATGTGACAATGTTTTTTATGTATATAATGAGTCTAATGTAATTTTAACCAACTCGGTCATGATGTTATTAAATGGGAAAGCAAACGCAGTGTGTTCGCGGCTAAGCACTGCACAGAAGCTCAGACTAAATCCGGGCACACCAGGCCGTTGACTCAGATCATGTGGAAGCTTAGTAGTAAATGTATATACAAATGTAGCTGGGGATATGAATTCCAGTCTTAAACCATGACTCTGTGACTTGTAATAAAACCAAGCTGTACAATTTAGTTTATGATAGCAGCCTCTGAGCTGCTCCAAAATATATATATCAACAGTGGAAATACTGTAGATTTATATTTATATATATATATGCAAAATATATATACACACACACTATTTTCTTATGTCATCTATGACATTTTTTATCTGTATACTTTTTTTGATTTGATTGTTTTTAACATGCTAACTAAGTATTTTGTTCTGTGTCTTTTATGTGCTTTTTTCTTCGTAAGTCAGAAGTGCCGCATCTCTGATACTTGGGAAGCTAATTCTCTTCTGAGTAGATGGTGCCCAGTGTTTGCCTACGTGACTTCAGCTTGATCACGGTTCTCTGCTCCATGCTTTGCTAATTCCCAGTAGTTCTGTATTTAGACCCGCCTCACCTTGCCTTTGTTTTATTCAATCGTGAGTAATAATGAGGTCGTCTTCTCAGTCTCCCTCATTGTGAAATGTAGCTCTCTGTTAGTTTGTCAAGAAAAATTTAATTCGAAGTTATTTTGCCTCAGTACAATTTTATTCTCTCAAATTTATGTTTTAATAAAAGGTAAATGATGAAATAATGATGAAAGATGAAATAATATTCATAAAGTGGGTTAAATATATTTATAAAAAAAATAGGTTTTTTTCACGGTGTGGAGACTGATTTTACTCTGTAACTGCACGTCCAGTAGGTAAATATTTTGCCACTGTTGAGCGTTTTTCTTTGTAGCAGTTTTGCTTTGCTTAGCACAATAAGCACTTTGGTATAGTTTTTTTTTTCTTTTTTCATATTTACTTTGAAACGTTAAAGAAACTAGACCCAGGGTCTCAAAGGGTTTTAAAACTTCAACTTTTTCAGGTGCTTACGTTGTTTTTAGAATTTTTTAAAATAGCATTTGGAGCTGGAAGATACCTGTATCTGTCAGATTGGATCCATGTTGGGTATAAATTGGACTGACAAAAGACAGATTAACAGGAGAAAAACAGACAATTTTAGTAACATGTGCATCCTGCGTCCATGTGGTACCCAGTGATGAGTCACTCAGGAGGGTTAGACTTGGGGTCTGTGTACTACAGTTAGCCGGGGGGGTAGGGAAAGGGATGAGGAAGAAGGGCACTTACGGAAAATAAATGGACACTTAGGAGAGCAGATGGGAGATGGAATAGTTGGTGTCAGTTTGGTTGTGGCGCCAGGAGAGAAGGTTAGAGCTGCCGGGAGGGGATTTATGACCGTTGAGTCCTTTGGGGGAGGCTCTACTTTTAGGCAGATCAGGGATTTCAGGAACTCCAATGTCTTTAGCTCAAAATCATTCTGATCTCCTTCGTTGCCAGTGACAGAATGTTTCTTGAAGGAAGAGAGATTCCACCAGTGGGACATTTTTGGAAGAGAAAATCAGATGTTTACAAGATGTAGTGTGATCGATCGTCTTAACTTTTTTCATTTTAAGACAACTCTAATGCTGTTGTATGTCATTGAATGTCAGCTTGAACGTGGGATTTTGTGTTCGTCATTCAGATCTCCCTTAGGGCCCGCTGATCGTAAGCACAGAAATGATGCCTGCTTAGTACTTTGCTGAGATCTCCTTTCTTTCCATTTTCATGGTTAGAGAAAAACATTCCGTGTCCACAAATCAGGATTTATTCATAGAGGTTGCAAGTCCAAGATCAAGGTAAGGATCTACAGCTTAGTCTTCAAGAAATATTACTACTCTCGGTTACCTTTTGCACTCACACCTTCATTTTAATATGCACTTGATTGTGGGTTAGTAAGACTCATTGTGGCAATGTGTTTTTTTTCCCTTTGTCTTAACTGTCTTTTAGTAGATTTTAAATACATTTTTGATATGAATATTGATACTTACTGACCAGATGGTTTCAGTAAGTCGGACTTGACTTTGACAGTGACCTAAGGTACTGAGAATAGGAGGAAAAAATTCCGTTGAACATTGATCTGTGAATTGCACTTTCAGAAGGATTTCAGTTATCCATGAATCTAAGCATAACTGCCACCATTTTATCAATAAGAACACTGAAAAACAGAGGAACAAATTTTAGATTTCTTGAAAGTAGCTCTTGAGTCTTCTAGTCTTTAGAATTATCTGGGGAACTTGAAAAAAAAGTAGTTGTTGTATATGCTCACTGTGAGCGGTCCCCAAAATTCTTAACAGATCAGTTTCAGAGTTTAGAAACTCTGATTTCAGGTAAGTTAGGAAAACTTGCACTGGAAAGATGGGCATGACCAACTGTCTGTGAACGCTGATGGAGGGCCCAGAGCTGTGGGAAGTGTGGACAGCTTCCACTGAAGGGGGCCTGAGCCCTGAACTTGCTCTCACTCCTGCTGACCGTAGTTCTTCAAAATAGGTAGAGCCCTAGGAAGATTTATTTCCATTTTCCTACATAACCTCTGTCCCTTTGCTTAAGTGACTTGCTGGAAGGAAGCCTGCACTCCCTGGAAGCCTGAGTGATTTTCCCCACGTGAGGAGCCGAGACTTGGCTGCACAGGCCGGGCACCTGCTCGGCCAGCCAGCACTTGGTCGAGCCCCTCCCGGGTCCTGGTTGCCCTGGGACTGGGCCAGGTTCATACTTCAGGGTAGGAGATGCGTTTTGTAATCCATGTCTCAGCTCAGCGTGGAGATGGGCGTGGTGACTGTTACGGGCACAGAAAGGCCCAGCTCAGGAGGACCAGGGAGGGCCTGTGAGGGGCGTCGCCTTAGCTGAGCTGGTGAGGAATCACAGGGCAGATGGAGGAGAGGGAGAAGAAAGGGCATTTGCCCAGAGAGGGTGGCCGTGGTAAGTGTGAACTTGGTGTGGGGGTGGGGTGGGGGGGTCCTGCAGAGACCAGGTTGTGGAGGGCCTCATGTGCCCTGGGGCTGGATGCAGAGGTGGGGGTGCAAGCCTGACGTTGGGGTGAGGGCAGCAGGGGTTCTGTCTAAGGTCTTCTGTCTAAAGGGGGTTCCAGAGCTTCACACCAGGGAAGAAGTAATGAAGAATGGTGACTAATTTGAACACTACTAAGTAAAAAATCACTGGCATTACTGGCGTATCTGGCACTGTGCTAAGTATTTCACCTGTGTTAATCCAGTTGGTGCTTGCAGTGACCTCGAGGCATGCACTACCTGACTTCCTGGTTCACAGGTGAGAAGTTGAAGGCACAGGGAGCTGCAGTAACTTTCCCGGCGTGTTGGGGGTGGAGCCAGGACTCCCCACCCCCACCAGCAGTTTTAAGGACGTGTAATTTACCCACCATAGAGCTCACCTGGTTAAGTGTGCACATCAGTGATTTTTTCAGTCAGTTTACGGAGTTGTGCAACCATTACAGCAAACCAATTTTAGAACATTTCCGTCACCTCAAGAAGATCTCTTGTGCCTATTTGTAGTCAGTCTCCATTCCCACCCCCAGCCTCAGGCAGCCACTAAAACACCTTCTGTTTTTCTGATTTGCCTTTTCTGGACATTTCCTGTGGATGGAATGGGATAATACTTAGTTTTTGCTTCTGGCTTCTGGCACACTTGGCTTAATGTTTTGAGGTTCATCCGTGGAGCCTGTATCAGTAACACCCTTTCTATTGCTGAATTGTCTTCTGTTGTGCAGCTCTGTCACGTTCTGTTTATGCAGCCACCAGCTGCTAGACGCTGGGTTGTTTTCACCTGCTGCCATGACCATTTGTGTGTAAGTGTTCGTGTGGCCATGTTTTCATTCCCCTCGGGTACATACTTAGGAGTGCTATTGGCTTTTATGATATGTTTAACCTTTTAAGAAACTCCCACACTCTTTTCCAAAATGTCTGCGCCGTTTCCCCTGTCCATCCACAATGCCTGAGGGGTCTGATGTCTCTACACCCTCACCAACGCTTGCTGTTTGTGCTTTGCTGTCACGGCCGTTCTGGTGGGTGTGCAGCCATGTCTCATTGCGGCTCTGATTTGTGTTTCTCGAGTAGCTAATGATGAGCATCTTGCCATGTGTTTGTAGATCATTCGTGTGTCTTCTTTGGTGAAATGACTATTCAGATCTTTTGCTTACCTTTTAATTGGGTTTTCTTATTTTGGAAAAGAGTTCTTTAAAATACTCTGGATACAAGTCCTTTATAAGACATATGGTTTGAAGATGTTTTCTCCTGGTCTGTGACATATCTTTCCCGTTTCTTAATGTTGTCTTTTGAACTGTGAATGTTTTTAATATTAATGAGGTCCGGTTTATTATTTTTTTCTTCATGGATTATGCTTTTAGTGTTGTGTCTCTCTCCCTAACCCAGGGTCATAAATGATTTTCACCGATGTTTTATTCCAGAAGTTTTATAGTTTTAGCTCCTACATATGGGTCTATGAGCCATGTTGAATTATTGTATAAAGTGTGAGGTAAAGATCGAAGTATATGTGGATTTCCAGTGGTCTCAGTACCATGTGTTTAAAAGACTATGCTTTCCCCAACTGAATTGCCTTGGTACCTGTGTCAAAAATCAATTGACCATATATGTAAGTACTCTAAGTTTTGAAATCAGGAAGAAATCATCCTCCAACTTGGTTCTTTTTCAAATTGTTTTGGCTATTCTGGGTCCTTTGCTTTTCTGTATAAATTTTAGGACCAGCTTGTTAGTTTCTGCCAAAAAAACAAAAAACAAAAAAACCTGTTAGGATTCTGATAGGTATTGTTTTGAATCTGTAGATCAATTCAGGAACCTTAACAATGTTGAGTCTCCCATAAGCATTGCATGTCTCTCCATTTATTTTGATCTTTAATTTCTCTTAGCATGGTTTTGTAGTTTTAGTCTTGCACATCCTTTGTTAAAGTTATTCCTAAGTGTTTTATTTTTCTTCCTCTTGTAAATAGAATTGTTCTCTTCAGAGCTGATGTACTTCAACATCCCCTGTACTGTTGCGGGGAGAAGAAGGCTCAAGGTTGACTTGCACGGCTCCCAGCTTGAGTGGGTAGGGTGGATAGTGGGCCACCATCCGATGAAAAGGACTCAGGAGAAAGGGGCAGATTAGATTTGGTGAGGAAGTGGCTTCTGTTTTGATGTGTAGGATATGAGGAATAGGGGACTGACGGGTCATGCTGTCTGACAGTTCCAGAGAGATTTGTTTGTAATAGAGAAAAATTGGAAATAACCAGAATGTCTGTCAGTCGAGGATAGGTGAAATTACAGTATAACCGTATAAAAGAATGTTAATACTGTTCACCCATTAAAACTACAGAGCCATGCTGATACGGACTGACCTGGAAAGATGTCTGGTTGATTGCTAAGTGAACCAAGCTACAAACAGCATTCACTTAGCCATTGGCTTTCCGGCTCCCACCTTCGCCTCAGGCCCACCTTGAAGCTGACTCAGCATCATGGTGCTGAAGTTCATGGGTTGTGTGGGGACAGGGTGGCTCATTATAGATTTGGGGATGGGGGCTGTCAAGGAGGACCAGGGAAGTTGTACGCACACGAGGCTTCGAAGCCTGAAGGACAGACAGTGAAGAAGGTTTTAGAACCGATGGGCAGGCCCCTGGGATGCAAGAAGGAGCCACGCTGAAGTGAGACAGGGAGCTGAGGAGGGGGAAGGACCCCTGACGGGGTGGGGGGGCCCCGGTCGGCGGGAATCAGAGGTGAGAGCGAGGCGGAGCGTGGACCTCCCACTTGGGTCACCTACTAAAGGCCCCGACCGAGGGGGCCTGGCAGGCCTTGGGGTGGAGCTCAGCAAGTGCCGACCGCGGTGGAGAGGCCTGCAGCCTGCCGCTCCCTCCCTGCAAACAGCCCGCTCCTTCCCTTGCTGGTCCTCCAGTGGGGGATGGGGGGACAGGGAAATCAGAGCAGTCCCTGGGGCTCCCCTGGGAGGCAGCAGGTGGTCCCAGCCGGGAGCCCTGAGCCCAGGACACCAAGTGGAAGCCACACCCTGATTGAGGCTGGTGCGACCTGGGATGAAGGGGCACTTTGTCATTTTCCCAGGGAAGCTGAAGATCAAAGTGTTGCCCTGTGAGTGAAAGAAAGGCAATAATAGTTGTTTCTGAAAGGCAGGCCTCTCAGAAGTGTGAAGACCTGGAGAGACAGGGAGTCAGCTCGCCCACCGCCAGTCTCCTGCTGAGCACGTGGATGTGGACTTGATGTTGGACTTGGTCTGTTTAAACGTCTGTGTGGGAAGCCCGTCTCCTCCCTGCCTGTCCCCCCAGAAACAATGGTGGGTGTTTATGATTCCAGAAAGCGGTGGGGAGGTTGTAAACCTGGACTTGGCTCATCTTTTTAAAATCTCTGGATGTCCCATTAGCCTGGGATAGTCTATTTTGGATTTCATGGCTCAGTAAAATATTCTCCAAAATTTGTGGCACTGTTACAGAAATGTCCATTTGTATTTTGTCAAATATATTTATTAAGAGAAAAATACCTTAAAGAATGTTGCTAACACAAAAAAAGGAAGTAAGAGCATAAACTGAGAAAAACGGACAGTCTTTTAAACTGAATATAGTTGGCTTTTTAAAAATCCACTATGTTGACCTTTCTTTTAAAAAAAAATTGTCACAGCAGACTGGTGAAAACTCTGTGACTCTGTGTGGCTCAGCCCTGGTGCACACATCAGAATTCAAAGGCCACTGAATTAGTGTTTGTTTGAACACCAGATGATATGATTAGATTGTGTGGTTTGTAGGAAATTAAATCTTTACCTAAACCGGATGCTAAGCTTCTGCTCGGAATCAATATACTAATAGAAGTCCTTGGAAACTAATAAACATACCATTACTATTAATTTATGGATAGGTTGTTGACAGATAACCTCAGAGAAGGAATCCAGGCTTGAAACAGCTTTTGTAATGCCAGGTGAAGTGTGTGAGTTTAATCAGAGTCCTGAGAAGGAGTATCTGTGTAGTGTATTAAAAAAAACCCGACTGCATCGGAGTTGGGTCTGAGAGAAGCCAAGAGGAGGCAGGAAAACTAGAAACTAATTGAAGCTGATACAAGAAATTAAGATCCATGCAAAGAAAACCAGATATTCTAAGATGAAATGTGTTGGTGGGAAGCAGGGACAACTTACCAACTTAGAATCTGGTCACCTGGCATCTTCTCCTGAGGACAAGAGGCCAGAAGGAACTGGCCCAACTAACTAAGGAATCTTCCACACACAGGATGGCAGGGCTGGAATACTGCCGTTGGGGACCCTCTCAGGACGGGAGGCCACACTCTGGACTCAAGCCAGGCAGTCCCTGAAGTTATGCCCTTTGCAGGGTAGAAGGTTTACAGATGAAGAAGCGAGCCCAGAATTGTCCAGTGTCTTACCCAGGGCCTCACCTTTCCTTGTTGCTGCTCTGTCCCGAAGTGGATTGAAGATGCCAGTCCAGAGTTGGATGCCCTCTGCCGGCAGCTGGACCGCCCTCGGCCTGAGAGAGAAAGGAGGATGAAGACCAAGTGATGTGTAAAACCAACCAACCAGCGAACCCTGGCACAGATACTCAAGAAATGACACTATGGGTGAGGAGAGCCCAGCCGGACTGAGGGTTTCCCTGCATCACTGTGTGGACTGGCCTGTGCAGTGGTGCCCCGAGTCACTCACACAGTGTTTGTGCCCGTAACTGTCCATCAAAATAAAGTCACATTTTGTTCGCTATGCATTCAATTAAAGAACAAAAATTCTTAGTTGACGTCTTCATAACGCTTGCTGGATTAAGGTAATAACGTTCTACTAACCGCACAATATCAAGTTGTAGCTTGAAAACCCAACCTGGATTCTGTCCTTTTCCTGCTTTAAAAGCCTTCAGTGGCTCGCCACGGCCGCCGCATTAAATACCCATCGTTCAGCCCAGCTTTCACGGCTGTCTGTGACGCGTGCCGTGAACTTGCTTTCAGCAGGGTTTTCCCGTCTGTGCTTTCTGGGGCCCCAGAGTCTCTGGAAATGACTCAGGCCGCAGTGAGTTCGGAAGTAGCAAAGTTGGGTGTTGGTGTGAAAGTGAGTCGGGCTTTGCTGGCTGAGAGATCACCAGTGGGGTACAGCTGACCCAGCTTCATGGGTTGCAGGTTTCAGTAGCTTAAGTCGATACTCTGAACTCCACAGGCCCTGCCGTGCAGTGGGAAGACCTTCCACGGTGCCGTGAAGGATGTCACCCACCAGGCTATGGGCAGAATTACAAAGCGTGGTTTGCCTTTATGTCCCCCACACCCTCCCTGTCCATCCGCTGTTGCTTTGTACCCCACCACCCCATATCTTAGAGACTTACCACCTGGTATAACTTCCCTTGAGAACCCCAGCATCATATGTGTATTTAAATACAGATACCGAATCTCAGTTACGAGTCACTATTAAGTGGCCTGGATTTTTCATAGACCTTGCTTTTCATCCAATTTTAAGTCACACAGAATTTTTGAGGAAACAGTTTTAATGGGGAGTTGGACTGTACCATCTGTTACCCAGGTCACTTGTTCTGAAACTTTAATTTGCATAGAAATCACCTGGGGATCTTGTTGAAATGCAGGTTTGATTCTGTAGGTCTGCAGTTTGCTCTAGGATTCTCTAATCCTTATAAGCTCCCGGGTGACGTTGACTCTGCTAGACTGGGGACCACACTGTGAGTTACAAGGATCAAGTCCAAGTTCCCTTGAGCAGTCAGGGTTCCTATGCCCCCTGATACCCACACCCGAGGGCCAAGCAGTTTCCTGGGCCAGAGGCAGCTGCCCAGCACGAAGCGCACAGTCGTTGCCTTGGAGAGCTTATGGGCATAAACGAGATGGCGGGGTGTGTCCGCCACGTCTCTGCAGACTTCAGTCCTTTCCCAGGTCCAGACCCCTGGGAGGCGCTCATCTGGCTGCTGGAGATGGTGTTTCTCCTCTCCAGAAGGCAATTCAGCAAGTCCTCCAGGGAAAAGGGTAAATGCTACCTTGGGAGCTTCCTGAGCAGCTTCCAGCGAGTGGAGGGGTTGCCTGCGGGTATTTCCTCCTTAACACATCACTTTTCTTCCAGCCACATATGCAGACAGACCGGGCCGTTCAGCACGAGTTCTCCCGTGGATGACACCCACTCTCGTTTACTTCCGTACGCGCATTTCTGTGGGGAAGGGAGAGGATGAAATTCAGCTAGCCCAAGCTGTGGATTGGGACTTATAACCCACCTAATTCCTTGATTAAGCTAGTAATTAAGGCTGTGTCTTTGCCACCTGCTACGCCTGGGCCTCATGCCGTATGGCAGGATGGCAACTCTGACAAACCCATCCCTGTGGGATCCAGAGCTCCTGCCATGCTTGTTTCCAGCAAATCCGAAGTCATTGCTCTCCTGCCTCCCCCTCTGCACCCTCCCAGAGTGTGTTCTGAAGCCCGCATTGAGACAGGTCGCCAGCCCTTTGGGTTACAGGATGTGGCGTCTGCAGCAGACTTCATCTGAGCCTTACGGTGGCTGTCCCTTCTCTAAAGAGAAGCATTTGTGTCAACCATTTGGCACAGAAGCCAACCGCCTTTCTAGCCTGAGGGGTCTTAGCCTCCACTCCAGGGAGCAGCATGAGGGTTAGAGCTCAGAGATAAAGGAAAAATGGAGTCAAGACCCCTTTGCAGATTTGCCTCCATTACCTAGATGGATGTTCCATAAGTGTTCACTGAATGAATGAGTGAAAACAAATCAAGAAAGAAAAAGCTCTTGTATATGAACCATGGTGTCAACACCAAATACCTTAGTTGTTTTCCTGTTTCCTCACCAATTACGTGTAAGGCTCTGGTCTCAAACCTACTGGGGGTGTGTAGAGACAGCTGTGATGTTGTCCCCCGAGAAGGTGAAGAGGAACCCATGTCACGGGGCTGTGGCAGGTTCCTTAGCTGTTCCTCCTTCAGACGGTGGAGCTATGAGATCTGGTGGGTAGCAGAGTCTAGACTAAAACCCGTGTCCTGACACCAACCCCCTGCTCAGCACGCTTTCTAACCTGCCAAGCTGTTGACCCACCCAGGAACTAGGCACCACCCACATTTACCCCGCTGTGAGCGAGCCCATGAGTAAATTAACTCAGGGACCTGCCACTGACCACCCCCCAAAGCCAACGGGCCTCCCTCAGAACTAGCATCCCAGAAGGAAGACTTGATCTTGGAGCCTGCTCTCCTCTTCACCTTGGGCAAAAGTTTTTATCTGAAAAGTTCACCTCTGCCCCGTATATGATGGGGAAGGTGCCTCAGATCAGCAAAAGCAGGAGCCACAAACTAATGGTGACTACACTGTAGCTGCAAGAAGTGAAATATGAAGGAACAGGTACCCAAAGGGCCGTCGCACATCCCTTCCCTGCCAAGGAAGTACAGAGGCCTCCATTTTGGCGTAGAACCCAAGCAAGGCTCCACATTTGATCAGCCTGGATTTTTTGTAGGTCATTAGAGGCAAAGAAGTAGTGCTCTGTATCCCCTTCCTTTTTTCCTTCCTTCCCTCCCTCCCTTCAGTGAACAATTACTGAGCACCATGTATTTGGCACTGTTTCTAGGCGCTGGGAACAGAGCAGTGAACAGCAGCTCTGCACCATGGGGCTCACACGCCAGTGGGAGAAACAACAAGGCAAAGCCAACACATAGCGAAGTGGCTGGTGAGGAATAAGATTCAAGCCTGGAGAGGGACGGAGAGTGCTGGCAGGTGTGGTTTTAGCTAGGATAATTGGCAAAGACCCCTTGGGAGGATTTGACCTTTTGAAGGAGCTGAAGGAGCAAGTCATTTAGGTATTTGGAGAAGAGTCGGAACAGCAAGTGCAAATGTCCTGAGGCAGGAGTGGCTGATGTGCTTCAGGAACAATAGGAAGGCCAGTGAGGCTGAAGCTGAGAATATGTGAGGGGCTGCAGAATTGACAAGGGAGAAGGTCTGGGGCTGGATCATGAGATCGTGAGGTCATTAGCAGGATGGGAAATCATGGGAAGAGTTTGAGGGAAAAAAAAAAAGAAATTGATGTGCCTTCCGTTTAAACATAGTTCTCCTGGCTGCTGGTTGAAGAGTGGGTCAGGTCATGTGGAAGGTGGGTCGCAGCAGGCTGGGGAGTTCGCACATCTTGGCTGTAAACTAAGGAGAGGTGACGAGAGCTTGGACAAGGGCAGATCAGTGAGGGGTGAGAAGTGGTCGATTCTGGATATATCTTAAAGACAGAACCAAAAAACCTTTGCTATTGAGTTGGGTGTGGGATGTGAGTGAAGGAAAGGAGATGGGGATGACTCTGGGTGTTTTGGGTTGTTTTTTTTGGTTTTCTTTTCTTTTTCTTTGTTTCTTTTTATTTGGGTGAGTAACTCAAAGGATAGTGTGCCATTAACTGGGATGGGGAAGATGTGGGAGGAACAGGAAATACAGAGGCCTCAGTGTTGGGTGTATTAAGCTTGAGACAACATGGAATACGAGGAAGAACAGCCTGCATTTATTGAGCTCTTCCTGTGTGTCGGGCCCTGGGCAAAGCATCTTGCAGATACTGTCCTGTTTGGTCCTTGCACCAGCACTGTCATCATCTCTATTTTAGGGATAAGAAAATCGGTAGTTGTGCCCATTCACAGCCTGACGAGACCTCCTGTCTAACTTTTCTGTCCTCACTGCGCAGTCGTGCTTGGTACCGGCTCATAGCACTGTTGATGAAGATGTGAGTTTTCTCCTTCTACCACTGAACAGTGAGAGATTATCAGCTTTGTTCTGCTCCTGGAGTCACATCGACGCTGCTTCCACACCCAAGTGAGTGAGTGAGCCTGCAGAACCTGCAGGCGCTGGCCGCAGGCCTGGACCGACAGCGCTGCTCGCCTGTGAGGGGAGAAGCCAAGGAATGGGGCCTAAGGGTGTGCCCAGACATGCAGTTCATCCATCGATCAGGCGTATGGTGGGTGCATGGGAGGCTGAAAAGCAGGGGCGTGGCGTGTTCAAGGTTAGCAACCAAGTGACCAACTAGGCTTCATAACCAGATGCATCAAAAATAGGAAGCATGAGCCAGCACTTGGGGTGAGCAGTGAGAAGTCAGGTGTGAGTGATGGAGAGGATGGCCGTTAAGGCTAGTCTGGGAGGCCAGGCGTGCTTTGCTGTTCCTGACTAGCTGGGAGAGTCCTGAAGAGGCCAGCGGTGTGTGCTGAGGAAGAGCTCCCCTTGTAACCCACTTAAGAAGTATGTTAGTTGTGTGTGTGCTGAGTAATGGATCACCCCGAACTAAGTGTCTGTTAACAACCATGATGGTCTCAGGAGCAGCTGAGGACATCTCAGAGGCTCTTCACTCCCACGTGTGGCGTCTGAGCTGGAGCAGCTGGAGCTTGCCATCCTCAGGCATTTCTGTCTGGGGGATCTCCACTCAGGGTCTTCCCAGCGTGGCATCTTCACAGCAGTGACACTTCCCAGGAGGAAGCTATGCCCCTTATGTGAGCTCACCTCAGGGGAGGGGCAGCCCTCTGGTCTGCTGCAGTCTGATTGTCAGAAGTCAGTGCCCACAGTTGGCCCTTTTTCACTGTAGTCTCCACCTATTTCTGGGAAATAAATCCAAGAATTTGTTGGCATGTTTTATAACCACATAGGAGCCTATGATATAGTCCGGGGACCTCATAATTACACCCGCCTAATTATATAAGGGACTTCCAGTGGAAAGTTTCCCGGTGCTTACCGTGCTTGGCAAGTCACGTCAGACACGTGGAGATGTGATGTGCAGGCGAGCGGTCCGATTTTCTGAGACTAAGTCCCGTATTTGTGTCATTACCAGGAAACCCCCAGGCCCGGAAACATCTTTTCCCCCTGGGGCTCAGGATGGTAACATCAGAGTAGGTGATAAAGTGGTTAATCCCACAGGGATGCAAAACAGTATTAGCAAGTCAGGAAACAGCAAGGAGGCTGAGCAGTAGACAAGAAGGAGGCCCTCACATCGCTGTCCTTCTGATTCGATACAGCAACAGACAATTCCAAATTCCTCTGAGGGACAGCGGTATTTGGGACCAACTAGACTAGCCAGCTGCCGCCGTGCCTGGTAAAGCCAGTTGTGGCTCTAGTCCTGGCACACCCAGACTGCTCACGCTGCTGACCCCAGTATGAAGGCACCTGGGGTTCCATGTGCGGAAGCAGGACTAGGGATAATTGCTTTGTTAGAGGGGAACTGAGAGTCCTAGTGAATTCAAGTGTACTTCCAAGCAGGGTCTGAAAGCCTCCTGTAAGGACACTGACTGCACCGTGGGGGGTTCGCCTGATGCCAGCTGATTGGGAAAAGCCATTCTGGGCCTAGCTTGAGTGAGCCCGGGGAGGGATAAGCAGGGACCCTGTACCTGGTACACTGGGGTTCCTGGGAAGACTTGTAGTCTCCTTACACTTGACTGAGTTTGTTCCCTGCACAGACTTTTGCTAAAGGCCACCGTGTCCCAGCGCGTGAGGCAGTTGCCAAAATGTAGTAGTGCTAACAGCTGGAGTTCCTGTCTGCTGCAGCTGAGCAACTACAGAGGAGCCTGAGTCCCACCAGAAGCAATTCCTTGGACTGTTCGGCGCTGCCTGGAAATGGGTCCCGGCACCCCCCCCCCCCCGCAGAGTCGACTGGCTGGCAAAGGCTTGCTGACACTGGGGGACTTTCCACTTCAGGGCCTGGCACTGTGACCGACTTCCCAGCATCTCAGTCTGGGCAGATTCCCATGAGATCAGACCCCATACCCACATCTCTGATTTTGTGAAGGTGGAGTGTAGTTTGGCAAAAGGTATTATGCAAAAATCAATAAGTAAAGAAACTTACAAGGGAGAAAAGAGAACATGAGCATAAAATTTGGAAAACGGAACTCAATAAAAGTAGTTTTTTTACTTCTGTTGAAACAGGATTTCTCAGAGCCTTTCCTGTGCCACCATGCCATGTGATCGTCCAGAAGGACAGGTAACATTTCTACGTATTTGACCATCAGGACCATTTTCCTGGGATCACCTTGGGTTACTCAGTTTTCCAGTGACAGCTTTGGGCCACCTCCTACGTTGCCTTTCTCTGGAAACCATTACCCCTAAATCTGTACTGTTAGTTGTTTCCAGCAGCTAATGAAAGGTTTCACTTTGTGCATGAGCCGGGGGCGTAAAAGCCAGTGATGATTCTTTCTCACTTTGGCACTTGAAGTTACACAAGGGTATACTTTTTAAAGTTAATGGGAGTGTTGCACACAATCATGAAAATTGTAACTGTGCAAGATTATTTGGTTTTTCAAAATCAGAAAGGAAACTTGCATTGCCGAAACACAGTCCACAGAATTATAAAAATAACCTTCGATGCCCTTCACTTGGAATAACTGACAGTTAAAGGTTTAGCACTTAAATGCTGTTTTCAGTTATATGCTAGGTTACCTGAAATCTAAACGTGGTGCTTGAAACTTAATCTTCTCATTGCCTGGTTTCTGTAAGTAATTGATTTTAGAGCCAGATGAGGATGGATGATCTGAGAGCTTTAAGTAAATCCTGCTGCCTGGACCCCTACCACCTGAATGGGTGTTAGTTGGTCTGGCTGGGGTGGGGTCTGAGTCAGGATGGTGAAAAGCTTTCCCAGGTGATTTGAATTTGCAGCCAAGGTGTGAATCACTGTAGCATTGCAGTGGTGCACATCTGGCTGGACTGTCAGCTGGGGGTGGGGGGGCGGGATCCGAAAAACACTGCTGCCTAGGCCCTGTTGCCAGAAATTCTGCTTTTAACTGTTCTAGATGAGAAACCACACATGAGAAAAACAAAACAAACAAAAACTCACCAGGTGATTCTGTCATGCAGCCAGGATTGAGACACACTGTAGAGAAAGGTAGTAGACTATAAACTGTTCTAGGAGAACTTTGTCATCGTTTAAATGTTTCAGGAAGCCTTTCCACTTGGGCTATTACATGATTTCAACTTACTGCATAACCACCAGGTTCTCAGTGTCTTACATTTGATTGGAAATTTGTCGTCTTTGGCCACTGCGTTAATGTTGTCTCTATTAGGAGTGCGGGATGGCCATTGACTCTAGGTAAAGAATCACTGAATCTCCAGTAGCCATTTGTGTGTTTTAGTATTTTTATATTGGAGTTCAATTTTTAAAATATTTTTGGAATAAATTAGGCAGTTGAGAAAAAGTGCCTGTAACAGGCTGGGCTGTTTTTCGTGCACGGCGTGGAGGGACTGCTGCTCAGGTTCTGAAACCACTGGCTCTGACTTTAATGCTTCACTGATGCACAGGGAGGGGAGAACTTGCTCCCTGGTGTCTCCGATCTCACCGTTGATTTTCTGTTCTGAGGTGGTGACCTTGGGTTCACTTGAGAGCCTTGTAACCTCCTCACACACTTCTTGAGTCCATACTAATAACAGACATAAGTGTTCTGGTGTGAGAATGAACTGAAACCTTTAAATTTAAATGATAACTAGCCTTGTGCTTGTGAGCCTCTTTTTTTCTTGCCCAGTAATTTAAAAAATGAATTTCTTTGTGGTGGTATTCTGTCTTACTTAAGGCTGACTGCCATCCTGTAGTAGCTGTCTTCATATAATTAATACTGATAATGAATTAATGAGTTAATAAAACTTACTGCTATAGACGGATTGTATACAATCTCAGAATATATTTCTAGGTACCAATCAGAAATAGCTAAATTTTTTCCACATTTTACTTTTCTCCTACTAGAGTGTGGAAGTGGTAGGAGCTAGGAACCCAAGTGCGCCTGTAGTGGCATTAACAGCCCCAAATGAGGATTCTTTAAAGGAGAGTTAGATGGTGAAGCACCTGATATTGCAAAAGTCTGTACATTTTCTGGGAGAAAGATCTAAAGCTTTCTCATACTTCTAAAAGGTCTCTGGCCTCCAAAATATTGAGAACCATTGAATTGAGATTAGAACAATATGCTTTTTTTTTCCTTTTCTGAGTTGACTGGGGAAATGTGTCATGCATGTGTGTGTCTGTGTGTGTGACTGTCCTGTGGGATCACAGGATGCCCTAGGAAATTGTGAATTTCCTGACACTAGTATATTTAGAAAAAACACTCTTGGCAGAGGGCGCTGTACTGGATTACCCCCAAAGGTATCTTCATGTTCTATGATTATGAAATTTAAAATGACATGGAGTTGTTGGTAATTGATCATGATAATTGACTGATCCCCTCCCGCCCGCCGCTGTAGAATTCGCCATCTGCTGTGGTAGCTCATGTTCTGGATCCTCAGCCGGGACAGCGGATTCTGGATTTGTGTGCGGCCCCTGGAGGCGAAACCTTACACGTTGCGGCACTGATGCAGGATCAGGTGAGACCGCCCTTACCTTCGATCTCTCCCCTTGTGCTGGGCGCAAGGATTTGTTGTGTTTTGTTTTTATACAAAGGCATTTGTTTAAACAAGCACTCCTGGAAGAAGTGCTTGTCTGAGTGACCTGCAGTGTGCTGGGCAGAGGGGTGTGCTGGGCAGAGGGGTGTCTGGGCAGAGGGGTGTGCTGGGCAGAGGGATGTCTGGGCAGAGGGGTGTGCTGGGCAGAGGGATGTGCTGGGCAGAGGGGTGTGCTGGGCACAGGGGTGTGCTGGGCAGAGGGGTGTGCT